GCTTTAGATTCCAGACTGAATGTAGAATATTAGCCTACAAGACCTATTATCATTCGAAAAATCAATTTTTTGCTCTACCAATTAATTTTTTTCCTGAGCCCCTGGCTGCTTGAGAACCCCAAAGCACAATAAATCAATCTTCATGCCTAAAGGCTGCCATTTTTCTAATGCCTCAGGTTTTTTTCCGGCAAACTTAGCTTTACTGACTGTAGCCAAAGAGCTCAGTTGACCATGGCAATAAACGTTTCCCAATTAACTTTTCTCTCTGATGACTCTTCCATAGAGATCATATTTGTAGAGTGACGGTGTACAGTGGACTGCTGTGTCACTACTTTCATAAAAATCTAAGCTTTCCTGCTGGTCTTTTGCAGAGATATTCAGGTTTTGTTTTACATTCATGATCAGTCTGCAACCATTTCTACTGCAGATCTTTGTAGATCTTGCAGATCTTGTCTTGGCTTAATCAGTTTCCCTTAAAATTAGTTTGGCAAAACTAACATGTGCTTTGCCTATGTTAAGCAGAGAAAATGGTTCACTTAAATAGCAAGCCCTTGCCCCAGCCCCTTATTCCAGCCTTCCCTACACCCCCACTCCATTCATTCATGGGAGTGCAGAGAATAAGCCCAATGTACTCTCCAGGTTGTGCTGGCCAGAACTTACACTTTAATGGCATTCTATATAGTATAAAGCAGGAGGTGCTCATATATCTTTTTTGTAGTCTTTCTTTGGTTTGTGAGTCTCAAGCATTTTGAGTTTCTTAACTCAGTTGCTAGGAGTAGCTTATGGCTGCAGAGCATAAGAACATTTTCACGGGGTTTGGAATGTATGGAACTCTGGGCTCCTCTCTTCTTACCTGAAGAGGTCATGTTAAGATGAAAGTATTGGCAGAGTAAAATGTACTCTTCCCAATACTTAGAGATGGCCCGTGACACTGTAGATGATCATCTAGGTCAGTGATGGCGAACCTTTTTGAACCCGAGTGCCCAAACTGCCAGCGCTGAAAATAAGTTTAGTATTGCAGTTTGGGCGCTCGGGTTTAAGAAACGTTCAACATCACTGCCTTAGGCAAAATAGAGAAACCCGCATATTCAAACATTAAGGCCCCATTCACACTGAGCGACACTCACCTGGGCGGATTTCCACGCGGCCGGGATAGTGCGACTGTTCAGGCGACGTTCCAATGACGATCATTCACAATCAGGCAGCGGCGGTGACCTCTAAACAGGCAGATTAGACGACCGCTTGCGGGGGCCTCCCGGAGGCCTAGCGAGGAGAAAGCAGCCGTCTAACCTACCTGTTTATTGGCCGCCGCCGCCTGATTGTGACTGGCCTGGATCGCGTACCAAGGTGATCCGGGTCAGTCGGATCTATTTCAATTGGTGGTCCCTGAATCTGGGCTCGCGTGCCAGAAGAAAGGGCCTCGTGTGTCCTCCCTGGCACGCGTGCCATAGGTTCGCCACCACTGATCTAGGTCATCTTCTCCTTGCAGAGAGCGGTGACTGTCAGTATGCATAGTATTAGCCTCTTGCAATACCCTGTACAACAGCACTCAGACTTGGAGTGGGAGGGGTAGGACGGGTAGCTAGTCAGGTGTGCTGCATGCAGATGTATTGACAAGAAACATGATGATATGAGGAGAAAGCATAGTCAGTAGAGAGATTCCCTTATCAGTCTGCTGCTTCTCTTTTACTGTCCAGTTAGAAAACTAGGGGGACAAAGGACTCCTCTGTATTCATTCACTGGTGTTGTCACTTTGACAATGCTGTGTGATGTAGCTGTACAACTCTCAGGACTGGTTGGACAGAAATGCAAATCCTTTGGCAGCTAAAACGGTTCCATTATTTGTATATAATATTTGTATTTATCTGTTTGCCTGGAGTTCAGCATAAATTCAGCTCACTGCCAAACTAAAACTGTGGTTTGGCACTGTCTTGTGAGGTTTCCTATTGGCCATAAACTAGTTTCCCCAAGAGACTATTGGGGGATTTCATTGTATCTACAGGCTTTTCGTATGTGCAGCTCTTTACTAGTGATAGGCAGTGATTTGGTGTAAACCCAGGTCACCTGACATCGTCCAAGCCCACTCAAAACTGTGACCGACATACCCTCCTTGCACCTCAACGCAGCATCCTCCCAGCCCAGTCAGTTGTGGGTGTTGCACTCCCTGACCCCTGACCCACAAAGGTTAGGGAATGCTTCTGCCGGGGCTGATACGGCTGGGGGGGAAGTTTGGTCATAGTTTTGAGTGGTTTTGAAGAACTCAGGTGAACTGGGTTTGCACCAAGCCCCAGCTCAACACTACACTTTACCAATACTTTCCCTGACCTTATGCCTACACAGTTTTGCTCCCACAATGCACACTCTCTGACATTACCTGATATTTTCTCATAATCAGTTAAGCATCCTGGTCTTTCCACATATCAGTGCCCATAATCCATTTTGGATGGGTAATGTAGATATTTTTGTACTGCCAAACATTTACTCCCTTTTATATGTAATTATTGTCATCATCATAGACAATTATATCAGTCATCACTATAACTAAGCCACTAATATGACAGTGGTCATAAACTGTATCTGCATATTTAACACAATTACTTATTGACAGGTATTATTGAAAGCAATGACATCACTTGTCTTGTCTCAGAGATGGAAAAAGCTGTTAACTACTCCAAAAAGGTTAGTAGGCCCTTATCTTCAGTGTTAGCTTCTTACACTCTGGAGATTTAGAGGTTGATTTACTAGAGGCAAATAGGCTGTTCGCTTGAAAATGAATTTGCACTTTGCAATGCAAGTTTCCCCTTAGGTTAGTGAAGGAGGAGGAGCTCTGCTGACTTCCATCATCCAAATAATGTTCAAGCAAAAATACAGTTTTTTTTATTTGCCTTGTACTTGATTGGGTATTCTTTGCAAAGTGAAATTTTACCACATTCACCTAGCTAAAGGAAACTGTGCTTGCAAAGTGAACAGTCTATTTGCCTTCAGTAAATCAGCCCCTTTGCCTCACACCCCAGTAATGTCCCAGATAGCAAGGATAACTTCCTACAAACTTGTGGCGGGGTGAAATTGTAATTTTGTTAACTTGCTGCACATATTCCTGGCAAGTTGTAGACTTGCAGAACACTCGCAGCACAAGTTCTAGTTGACACTTTTTGAACTTGTAGCAAATTTGCTTGGCAAGTCTACAGCAAGAGTCCTGCAGGTCTTAGCAAGAGCTCTGCAAGCTCGCTGGTCTGGAGACTTGCAATGCAGACTTGCTGTAATTGTGCAACAAAATTGTGAAGCTTGGCAAGTCTGTAATAGTTTAGCAAGTCATTTTCAAACTTGCAGCACAATGTCTTGCTATCTGGGGTTGCTGATTTATTTATTTATTTAGTATTGGTATTTATATAGCACCGACAATTTACGCAGTGCTTTACATACTGCACATTCACATCAGTTCCTGCCCTCAAGGAGCTTACAGTCTAAGTTCCCTATTGCACACACAGGGCCAATTTAGACAAGAGCCACATAACCTTGCAGTATGAGCCCAGCACAGGGAGAACATGAGAATGAATTGTTCATAGTAAACATTCTTATTTTATTCATACTGGCTAAAATAATAATCTAATAAGATCACAAGACAAGGTGCACTTACCCATAACAACCATCAGTAATCATCCTTCATAGTTCAGATTACACAGAATTGAAGAAAGTTGATTGATTGCCATGGATTGCAGTACATACATGTCTTTGGCTTACACACATGTTGATGACGTGCACTTTGAAAATAGAGAAAGTTGTTAAGTACCAGCATTGTTCTTTATGTTGCAGTGTGCTTTTTTGGTTGAATCATTAAAAGGCCGCCTTGGGAATAAAGAAGAGAACCAGATGTCCCCAGCTGAAGGATCGGTTGTGCCATATCAGAAAGAGAAAAACAGGCCAAAAGCACTGCCACTTCCAAAACCTACTGCTCTGACACTTGCCCGAATGGTATGCGTATCATGTCAGTCTGACATAGCATTCACTAAAACACACATATGATAAAGCAAAACTGCACATCATCTTTTACTTTGTTTAAGGTATTTGTTGAATTATTACAATGTTCTTTCATTGGGGTGATTTAATAAAGACAAATAGGGATTTGAGGTTAAGCTATGCCGACTTCCAACATTCAATCACGTGCAAGCAAAAATACTGTATTTTTGTAACTTTTCCTTGCATGTGATTGGGCATTCTTTTGCAAAGTGAATTTTAACTGCATTCACTGAGCCAGCATAGAAAAAAAGTAAGATGGTGTGAAAGAAACTTACTTGAGTAAGCATCTAGGTAAGGAAAACACCGGATACTGTCTGCAGGACCCATGTTTGCTGCACAATAAGCGCCACCGGGCCACATGCCCCCAGGCCTCAGGTCGGGCATTGGGTCACTATGCTAAGGGAAACTTCCCTTGCAAAGTAAACAGCCTATTTGCCTTTAGTAAATGAACTCTATTGAGTGTCAGTATGTGTGATAAAGTCAACTATAGTATCAAATTCACCTTCAGGAGGCAAAAGAGACATTTCTTTTTAATTAATGACATTATTTGGATAAAGAATCCAGCCCTGTTGATCTGATAGTAGTCTATAAATACACTGATTATTTGCACACAAAAAAATTATGGCGTCCCTTTTGTTAATGCATAAACTAAATGACAATATTTACTCAAATATCTAGAGCATTAAGAATGATCAAGAAGGCAAGAAGGACACTAACATGAAAGCATTGTTGTGGAGACCAAATAGTGCCAAAGCTGAAATCCCTTCAGGTGTGTAAGCCCTAATTCCAACTGTACATTTAATTACTGAATCTTTTTCTGGGTTTAAGAGTTCACGTCACATTTACTTTAGAACCTTCATAGTATCAAGTACATGATGAAACATTTGTCACTGAGGACTCTGCTTTTTAGCTTCTCAGTCAGTATACCTACTGTGATACTTATAAATGGGTCTCCTACTCTTTGCTGGATTTTTATGGTATTTTATAATGTTAACACAAAAAAAGTGAGAGTTCAATATGAGTGGTAACTACTGCTAGGAAGGAATTATAGTGAGGGGATCTCCCAACACATAAGGGGTATCTAAACCCCAAAACAAAAATATAAGATATTGAAGCTTTCCAGTCCTTAGAGGTGGTGGCTATATTACTTTTCCTTCTTTTGGACTTTTTTCTCTTTACTATCACCTGATGATCCTGCCACATTTTCTGTCCTAAGATGACAACGATCACTCACTGTACTGTAGCTATGGAGGAGCAGTTCTGTTACCCTAGGATGCTTTCCTGATTTGGACCACTAACACCGTTCCTATTCCCTATATCACATAGTGGGGAGGTGTTTTGTAGTTCGAAGAAGATATCTGAGAAGGCAGATAACATAGTTTGAGATTTTAGATTAAGAAGGAAGTTACAAGGACACGGAATTTCTAGCGGGATCAACAGGTATTTTTCTGTACTTGCAGGACATGTACTTAACATGAAAATTGACACTTATGCAATTACCACATCTAAGGACTGGTATTCTGCAATATTATTATATTTTTATTATACAGGATTTATTTAGCGCCAACAGTTTGCGCAGCGCTTTACAATATAAGGAAGACATTACAATCACAATACAATTCAAGACAAGATGGTAAGGAGGGCCCTGCCCCTGAGGGCTTACCATCTAAAAGGGAGGGACCAGTGATACATGAGGAGGTAGCTGTGTGGGGATGAATTGTTTGAGAATGTGATGTGATGCAATATATAAAATTTTTATTCTTGGGTTTAAAAACCATTTATTATTGACTAACTAAATTATTCTATAACAACAGAGAAAGGGTAGAATTAAAAAAAAAAAAATTTGATGCCCCCATTTAGAGGTATAAACACTGAAAGGGTTTTCTGTGATGTCACAAATCACGCACATCAGAGCTGCTGGAAGAAGGCATATTATTATTGATTCGGCTTACATGTACTGATATACTGTCCTTTGCCGAGCTGTCAGCCTCACATCAAACCAGAAATGTAACAATGGGAGGGCAATAAAAATGTTTCTATTTTAGCCCCGGCTTTTAAAGACTGGGATTCGGCTAGTGACAAGAAAATGAAACAAAAGAAACAAAGAGCATCGTTTGATGTTTTTTACACTGAAAATGGAAGAGACATTGGTGAGTGAATTATTTTTGTATACATGCTGACTGGCCAATTTTTTGGGCACATTATTCCAGATGCATACAGTGTACAGTATGCCACAGTGAGCCACATGACTGGACATTGAGATAAAATGTTTATTATGACATTGTAATTACAGTTGAAATGGAAATGAGTGCTTGTGCTTCGCCCGTGCAAGGCATAGCAGTCTGCTTTAATCTTCTTTCCCATGCAGCATATACTCACCTTTCCGTTCATCTGCTGAGAGAGAAGTAACTATTCAGTACTTTTAGGTATGAAGGAGCATATGGGAGCGCTGCTGCTTGGCAATTGGCCCAAACATGGTCACATGGGATTGAGAAGAGTAATTTCCTCTGTGTAAGCTCCAACAGAGCTTATACAGGGCTGTCTTGCTTTGCTACTAGCAGCTGAACATAACAGTTAAGCCTGTGACACACTGCACGCAAAGCCGTGCAGAGTGAAGCAAAGCTGTGCGGCACTGAGCTTTGCATGCAGTGTGTGAGCTGAGTGCAGCAAGATGATTGACTGCACCTTCAGCCAATCGACTTGTGGGTTACAACCAGCCAGAGGTCGCATGGTGACGCACGGGTTTATACGCACGAGCCGATTGGCTGAAGCAAGCTGACGTGCCGAGAAGAGAATTACATGACACACTGCTCGGGAAGGCAGCGCGCCACCGCTCCACGCTGCTTCGCATGCAGCGTGTCACAGCCTTAAGGGAGTGAAGCAGTGACGTGCGGTACCGTTGGTTCCGGGTGAGGCATTCCCCAGCCTCGCCCCCAGCATGTCCCGCCCCCCCCCCCATCAAAGC